AAAAATCTCTCTTCTCCTAGATATTAGTTGTTTTATAACATTAAGGATGAACCAGTCATTTTCTTCCTGGTTCATTCATTTTGTATAACTGAAATTATTATGTTACATAATAGCATAAATTAAGTAAATTTCAAGTAAATCTTAGTTACTTCTCAGATTGGGCAGGGAAAAACAAGATTTAAAATGAATGACTTGGAAGGATATATGTATGTATTTACAATGTGCTGCCAATAATTTAGCATTTAACTATTGATAAGGCACCAACTTTGGAGAGAGAAAAAGGTTAGCCATCAGCACAAGTCCAAGAATATGCCTTTGCCACTTTTAGAAATATAATATTTTATTTTACATACCAAGTCAAATAAGAGTTCATGATACAACTATATATAACTGGGACTAAGGACAAATGTAATGACAGAACCTGGTTAAGAGATGACTTCTTTTAAAAATGAACCAATAATGTTGGATGTTTATTCACATATCTTTACTGAATTAATGCATACATTTGGACTCTGAAAAATTTGGAGCCAATGTTGCCAACCAGTCATTGGAAAACTAATGAATTATACCATTGTCATATAGCAAACCACTAGAATAAACAATTTTCAATTACTACAATGACATTTTTTTAGAGGGATGGTTTTAGGAAAAAAAATTTCTATAACACTTTCTAGTTGGGTTGCTGTTGGGGCATGGATACATAAACAATCTGGTGGTTGTGATCCCTTCAATTTTGTTTTAGGGCTGTCTGGTTTCTGGTAACAGGAATATATCTTAAGCTTGCTTAGTTCAAAGGGGAATTTATAGGCTTTTGTAGCCAAACAGAGGAAGAGCAAAAAGAGGGTTTGCCTCCAGAGCAGATGCAACCAGGAAATCAAATACTATCAAGATCACATTCTTGCTGCCTTTTCTCTGTTTGTTTGTTAACTTCATTTTCTTGGTTTAGTTTCTCCAAAAGGATGGAAATCTTATCTGCAGATCTGGGTAACCATCAACACAGCTTGTTGATCAGAAAGAAAATGGCATTAGCCTGTAACTCAACTGTGAAAAATCTAAGGGAAGGCATTTCATAGGCTTAGCCTAGGTCATGTGCCAATGCCAATTCCAGTCATTGTAGATACTACAACAGGTCCAGCTGAGTCAAGTGCTCTTCCTTATTAAATTACCAAAGTAAAGGAGATGAAGTCAAGTAAGAGAATGGCTGCTCCCATCCAAATCATGGGACTACATTTTGGCTTCATTAATGGATGTGAGGGGAAGTTGGGGGCATGGACAATGATAACTCCAGAGGAAGGGAGTGAGTTAGGATGGATATTGTCAATGAGAAGATTACTGGGAGCCAGAAAGCAAATTTATGTTCAGCAAAAAGATTAATAGAATCAACATACATGGGATCCAACTCATAACTTTCCTTTCCAAACTGTTCACCCACCTTGTTTTTTATTAAGTGAACCCCATATTCTCAGTATCTAAGGGCTGGCTATTCTCCCAGAAAGAAGTCATGCTACCTTGCTCTCCCTTTGAAGATTATTCACCTCCCCTATTGGCAAGTCTAAATGGCATGCTCACTCTCACCCTGCCTTCTGTTTCATGAAGCCTTGACTAGGGCATTTCAGGAGGGAAGCTCATCTTTACAAGAGTGAGAAAATCCTAGTTCTTTCTTATTCAACCAGTCACCTTGGAGTTGCAAAGAAAAAAAAAAGTAAATCCAAAGGAAAAAGAATACGAAAAAGAACCATTCTTTTAAGGCTTTGTTCCTCCACTTGCTACCCATAATACTATCCCTTTACCCTGTTATTAAACTGTTGTCTTTGACCAGCAGTGAGAAACTCCCTCAGGAAGGGGGATCTTAGAGAGGGCACTGCATCCTTTTTTCTATTAGCTACATTATACTTCTAACACATTTACAGTTCCTATAGAGCGGATACAATTCAGTCCGAGGGGAAGAAGGGAGAGAAAACCTCAGAGAAAAGCACAGCAAAATACTAGTGTTCTGGGAGAACAGCAGCCATAATGAGAGGCCTGGGTGAGAGTAACAAGCAGTCAGTTATACCCATCTCCCAATATTATCTTAGTATTCTCACCATTCATTTTAATCCACAGAGTAGAAAAATGGTTGATTCTGGGGTGAGGCAGGAGTGGTATACAGGTATGGCAACTCATCCCAGAGGTTTTTGAACCTGAGTCCAAGAGCATCAGTAACTGTATTAAATTTGCTTTGCAGATCTGAGATCTAAGTGGATGAGGTCAGAGGAATGGGATGGAAAACACATACATGGTGCAACTTCTTTACTAATTTAGGCAAACAGCTCTCTGGAAAGTGACCTACAAAGCCAAAATATTCTCCAAGGCCCAGGCTGACCAGAGATGCCTCTTAGTCCACAGGGAGTTATTCTCTTTCAGAGTCTGAGAAGGCTTATCAGGAGCTAGGCACACAGAGCTTTATTTCCTGCCCCCTTCTCCCCAATTTTCTGAAAGAAATACTTCTGAGTATTAGAGACATGGAAAAAAATGACATATTCTCATTTTCTCTGGCCTCATGTACAGGATTTCACAATATAGCAACAGGGGGTCCTCTAAGATTCTTTCTCTCTCAGTGATCAACAAGAGGCCAATGTGAGGGCTTTAAACCTCAAACACTGGTCTCATTTGAATCTGCTTAGAAAAAAATCTAAAAAGTTACACTTTGAGCTATTAGAATATAGTTCCCTTTTTATCATTTTTTCTTCATCTTGCTATTGTGTGTGAAAAAACATTTTCACATACATTTTTTTTTTAACAGACTACTTACTGTCTCATAGAATTTTCCACATTGTAGAGTTTGCAGATTGTATCCTGGTGGTGTCATTTAATTCATTCTTCTGTTCCTTGTATTTCCTATGGAAAGTCAGACCTAGAGGCTTGACCAGATGTAGGTTAGGTTTGATTTGGGGGAGCAAGAAGACTTGCCAGATGATGGTGTCCTTCATAACTGCATCATATGAGGAAGCCCAGGATGTCTCTACTGTCTACTTTTTTGTGATGTTAAGAATGATCAGTGGGTTCAGTGTTGTCAGTCTGATCCATCTGCTATAAAAGATTTTCACCTACATACTTCACTAGCCATTAATGATCACTGCTAGATCCATTATCACATTTTCAAAATCAGTGATTTTTTTTAAAGAACTGTGAGTATTCCATAACAGTGTATATAATTTTATATTTGAACTGAACTATTTGTTTTTTCCATTAATGTGTTTTATTAAATTAAGTAACATTTAACATGATAACTGATCTTTTTTTTTCCTTTTAGTAATTTGAGATAGTTTTGGAACCTTATAAAAGACATTCAAGGTGCTGTGCTCTTTCATAAGAAAAGACAAAACATTGTTTTTGGAGCTGTTTTTGTCATGTGTGTGTATATTTTTCTCCCATTATTGTCAAATGTAATTTTAACCTTACACAAATGATCTGTTGATTTGAAATATCATGGGAAAACTTTGACCTAGAACATTTTCAAAGAGGTTAGTTACTGGAAATACAAGAAAGCTAAGGACATTTGGCAAGGTGGGTTATATTACATGCTTCAAAACTCTACACAAGTACATAGTTTTCTCCTTAGATTTTTCAATTTTCAATTTGGTCTCTCAATTTCCTGTAAACTAAATTTCAAAAACCCTAAGTGACGTTCAAGGCCTTCCTTTATCTGGCCCTAACCCCGTCCTCTATCAGTTTCATATTGACCACTGCTGTGCATTCTCTCCTCTGACCAAACTAGACAACTGACTACCCCCTGCGGCTTCTTGTCTCTGCAGGGGTAAAGTACCGCCCTGGGAACACACAGGGACTTTACTTTTCTATCTCTTAAGGTATTTCTTTCTTTTTTATGCATTCAATCTATGAACCCTCTCTTTCTAGACTTGTAGTGGACACTACTCTTTCTTGTGTAATGCCTTGCCTTCCTACTAGTAAAAAGAAATTATTACCTTGATTCCTTTTGGGAGAATACTCCTCACATATGGCATTGTTAATCATCATATCCAACAGCAAGCAGGAGATAGTGCCAGGCCCCAAGCTAGATGAATTAAAGAACACCTTCCACCTAAAATTTTAAATATTAGTAGTGATTAAAAAATTGATAATGGTTAGAAACAATTAACTCAGATGAATTTCTCCAGAACTAATAGCTAATATTTACTGAGTTCTCTAGTCATCAAACCATAAGAAAAGAGAACAAAAAGAAGAAAGAGAAAAAAAAAGTCCTACAGAAGATTGCTTTGGCAGCATGGGGGTCTCTTACAGTTCCATATAAATTTTGGAATTGTTTGTTCTAGTTCTGTGAAAAATGCCGTGAGTATTTTGACAGGGAATGCTTATACGAGTTATAAAATTCTGGTTTTTGAAGTGAAAAAAAAGGAAAGTGAATGAAGGGCCATGAATGGCAAGGTATACTTTTTTGTGGGTGAGTTGTATTCCATTACATATATATGCTGCATCTTCTTTATCTATTCATCTATTGATGTGCATTTAGGATGCTTCCATATCTTGGCAATTATAAATAATGTTACTGTTAATAGCAGGGTGTATGTATCTTT